AAAAAAAAAAACATAAAAAACAAGCACACATCCTTCGCGAATGTTTCACGCCCCCATCACGCATGCTTTTAAGGACAACCTGCGGAATGAATAAACTCTAGATTTCACCATACCAGGAACCTATCTGCTACACCACTGGATATGAGCCGTCAAAAATATCAAAGTTGCAGAATTTTGGCCAAGAAACACTGTTAAGTTCTGTCAAATTGTTTGGAAGGATTTCTGCATTGGCCAGGTTTGCACAAACTGACTAACATGCTGACTACAGTAAGTGTGACTAACTGACTACAGTAAGTGTGACTACATAGCTCCAAAAATGGTCCAAAAGTCACTAACAGAAACTCTTTGGGATGGTTGGATGACCACATCCTCGAGCCTCAATTGGCCTTAATTGGCCTCACAAGACCTGGCCTCCGAGGGCATGGCGAACTCATCCAGGGACACAATCTGCGCCTGGCAGGAGGACAACCACATGGAATTAAGGGATGAAGCATCATGAATGAGAGACTTTAAGAAAAGTTGACGCGAGCAGCTCGGCCCGAGCGCTCCTCTGGACAGCTTGGAACATGACTGCAGAGTGTGATATCGTCCACCATGGCAGCTCCACGTGATATCGTCCACCATTCATGATCTGGTAGAGGAACAGCGGTGCCTGGGACTCAGTTCGAAACAAACCTGAGAACGGATGGGAACGGTAGAAAGTAGATGAAAATGGCATCGCAGGTCTTGGTGACCAACCAAAACACATGTCTTTCCCTCTGTTTACCTGGTGCAAATGATGCCACTATGACTTCAACTCGCATGTTCTGCATCACCAATTCACTAACAGTTGTTTGCATCTGGTACCGAAAACACATTAAGTTTGAAGTGAGTTTGGCTCAGTATTGCCTCATACCCACGAATCGTGCTCACACACACACTCCACACACAGAGTACCTCTTGGGTGTGTGCAAGGATAATCATTTGTTAGGTCTCCTCAGTAGCAGATGATTGAAACCACGACGGCATGGCATGACCTCATGACTTGGCATTGGCATCTCCAGGGCGCCACAAAATTCTCTCGACCAAACCTTCAAACCACCAGTGATCTGATGGGTGCTCAAAATACAAGACTGAAAACAACTGAAGACATGAATTGCTGAGACCCTACAGCTTGGAAGGACAAGTAATTACGGACCATGTAAAGACATCAAATCATATCTCATATATAATTACCCACGATAGTACCCACGACGCTACTAGGGGCTCCTGGCCGTACTACTAGGAGCAAGAAGCTACTAGGAGCAAAGGGCATCGCTACTAGGAGCAAGGACGCATGATCAAACCCCACTTCTCTACCTCCTCACCGATTCTTCCATCCCGGTTGACGAGCTGCCGATGTCGATGTCCGTCCGTTGAGCCGAGCATCCCCGGGTTTCAGCACGTTGTCCGCCACAATGACTGCGCCTGGGTGGAGGAGACCCTCAGACCTCGGCTGAAGACGAGACGAAATGGGTCCAGACTTTTTTCAGCACTCTTTGGAACTCCATGACACATCAAGAGGTTCATCATGATGCATCAACAGCAGCAGTGTTCCGAAGCAGGGAGGGGAGGGAGTTGCCCTCTGACCAAACCTTGCAACACAGCAACTAAAGCCAGCAGCACATGTTTGATCATCTAACCTATGGTCTTCAACATTCTCCAAATTTCTCCAACATGGATCTGGCAATGATGCTGCAATGTGGAGCCTGCATCACTGCATCAATGCATGTTGTGGTCCAACATAACAGGGGCCCCTCGTGCTCCCGAGTCAGTGAAGTTCTGTACTTCAGATGAGTGATGCTGGATTCTGGTCATTCAACTGTTTTGACTCTGAGATACGCTGAGGCATGCTTTGGTGGCAAAATGTTAAAGAGGGAGCACAAGTGCATATATAGAAGTGTTCTTCCACATTATCGAGAGTGAGTTCCATCTGGGCGACCGTGTGATTCCAATGAACATTGTAAACCAACCCCAATGTGGAAGTGCAATTCACTCTGCCCAAAGAGTGCATCACTATCAAGGCCACCAGGCTCCATCTTCAGCATGTCTTCCTGGTACCGTGAGCCTTTCTGATCCATGAAGGCGGCACCTCAGCGGACATCAACCCGACGTTGTTTAGGTTGGTGGGAGTTGTGGTCCTCCCAGAGATGTAAAAACAATGATGAACATATCCTCCGGTGTGTCTGTCACATACTCTCTGTCCAAGTTTCATGTCGGGAAGACCACGTTCAGCCAACCAGCCAAATGACAATTCAACTTCTTCAGAGACAGCCGGTGTCGCTGTGTCCAGAATCACCACATTGTGTTTAACATTCAAAGCGTGTTGGAAAATATTATGGACACATGCATATTGTAGCTACCGTATATGGCAATCAATGATAGATGTAATTACTTACCGTACTCTCTCTCTCTCTCTTTCTTTCCTGTGTTGAAACATCCTGGACGGAACAAAACGGTAGCAAATTCACTCCGACCCTCACCCCCTCATCTCGGTCTCCCAGCCAAACTTCAGATCCCTGAGTCGCGTTACGCGAAGCGCAAACGCCAAGCGCAAACGTGCTTACCATGACGAATCAAAGCCATTTCTGGAAGCCCCGAAGACTGAAAACAAACTTGCAAATCCTTCTCCCTCTATCTCCCGTTGAAAGGAATTCACTGATTGGTCAACTTGCAAAAAACCAGTCACCCAAATCTGGAAAGGACATGGACAGCCCGCGGCGTGACTCTTTTGATTTGGCATGTATTGGAAAGAAGAGAACTCCCAACCAATACCGTAGGTTTTGGTTATATGTTTCTCTTTCCAACAGGTCTTTACGGGGTAACCCAATTTCAATGCATACAATTGATCCAAATTCCTTCTTACGAAAACACAATATAAAATATATTTAAGACATATATATATTGCACTCTGCACTCTTTTTGGCCAGCATACCAGAAGGTTTTCGTGTTTGAGCTCGGGCTCAAACACCCTTTACATTTACAAGCCTGATCTCTGCGGATCTTAGGCTTTCTTGCCTCAGAAGGGCTTTGACCTCAGAAGGGTCTTTTTCATGGCCTCTGTGGGCC